TCTTAATTCAACTCAATGTCCTCCCCAGGGACTTGCACATAGGGAGGCTTCTATAAATGATTATGAACTAAACCTCATATTTATTTGGCTTTCATAATGCTTGAGGACTCTTGGCAGTTAGATGAAGGAAAAAACATAAGGAGCTTTGGAGTTACACATACTTAGATTTAGACCCAGCTCTGCCTAGCTCTGTGACTTTGGGCAAGTTACTTACCTCTGATTTTCAGTTTGCTCACTTGCAAAATCCCTGGAGAAGGAAATGGCAGTCCACTCCCATGTTCTTGCCTGGAGAATCCCACGGACAGAGGAGACTGGTGGGCTACAGTCCATGGGGTCACAAAGAGTCGGACATGACTGAGTGACTGAGCACACACTTGCAAAATGGGTAACAACTCACGGAGTTTTTGTGAGAATTGAAAGCGATGAGTTCAGTCACTCAGTCATGTCCGACTCTGCGACCACATNTAGTTTTCTGAATGTTGAGTTTTAAGCCAGCTTTTTCACTCCCCTCTTTCACTTTCATCAAGAGGCTTATTAGTTCTTCTTCACTTCCTTCCATAAGGGTGGTGTCATCTGCATGTCTGAGGTTATTGATATTTCTCCCTGCAATCTTGATTCAGCTTGTGCTTCATCCAGCCCAGCATTTCACATGATGTACTCTGCATAGAAGTTAAATAAGCAGGATGACAACATATAGCCTTGACGTACTTCTTTCCTGATTTGGAACCAGTCTGTTGTTCCATGTCCAGTTCTAACTGTTGCTTCTTGACCTGCATACAGATTTCTCAGGAGGCAGGTAGACTACCAAAGGTAGTCTGGTATTCCTATCTTTTGAAGAGTTTTCCACAGTTTGTTTTGATTCACACAGTCAAAGGCTTTGGTGTAGTCAATAAAGCAGAAGTAGATGTTTTTCTGGAACTCTTGCATTTTTGATGATCCAGCGGATGTTGGCAATTTGATCTCTGGTTCCTCTTTCTTTTCTAAATCCAGCTTAAACATCTGGAAATTCACTGTTCATGTACTGTTGCAGCCTGGCTTGGAGAATTTTGAGCATTACTTTGCTAGCATGTGAGATGAGTACAATTGTGAGGTAATTTGAACATTCTTTGGCATTGCCTTTCTTTGGGATTGGAATGGAAACTGACCTTTTCTAGTCCTGTGGCCACTGCTGAGCTTTCCATATTTGCTGGCATACTGAGTGCAGCACTTTCACAGCATCGTCTTTTAGGATTTGAAATAAGTCAACTATAAAGATCCACTTAATCTACTGACTATTCAGTAAGGGGCTCAATAAATGTTCGTTTTCTTCCTTCCTCCTGCATGCATGCTAAGTTGCTTGAGTCCTGTCCCTATAGACTGTAGCCCTCCAGGCTCCTCTGTCCATGGGATTCTCCAGACAAGAATACTGGAGTTGGTTTCCATGCCCTCCTCCAGGGATCTTCCCCACCCAGGGACTGAAATTGCGTCTCTTATGTCTCCTGCATTGTCAGACAGGTTCTTTACCACTAGTGCGATCTGGGAAGACCCTGTGTTCCTACTGAGAATCTGTGATTCTTAAAACCATCTGCAGCTTAAAATTATGTAGGGAACTTTTTAAAAATACAGTTGTTCAGACCCCACCTGAATTTAATTGGCCTGTGGTAGGGCTTGAGTATGGGTTTTGTTTTTGTTTTTGTTTTTTTTGATCCTGCCTCAAGCCTTGTGAGATTTTTAGTTCCCCTGGCAGGGATCAAACCCTCACCATTGGCAGTGAAAGCGCAGAGCCCTAACCACTGGACTACCAGGGAATTCTGAGCATGGGTTATTTTGAAAATAATCTCTTGTTAAAGGACACATTTTTTAAAGATAAAATAATGATTCCCACAGAAATATAAATTGAACACATAGCAAAATTTTATTCAACTTATTCATTAATGAGGGAACCAGTAAGATGTTATAACTGGTTCAAATCCAGCAACACAAACACATACACAACCACAAATGCTGAGATGAATTTACAAATAGATGCAAATCCACTGGGTAATAATCAAATAATCAATTGCATTCCACTGAGGGAAATTCATTTGCATTTCTGTGGATAAGAATCATTTGCATTACGTTATGCTTTCTGTAATTTACAGAGTTGTAAAAAAGCTCAGAGGTAGTGAAAGAGGCAGACCTCTATGAAATCACATACCTGGACTAGTATGTAAAACAGGACACCCAGTGATCTGTTTTTGGGTACACGTCAATGACTCCCATGCTTCCCCAGCCAGAGGAGCGCACCCTGCCTTAGACCTTTGCATGTAATTCTGTGATGACTGTTCTCCCACTGTCTTGTAGTTATTTTGAGTCTGAGCTGTCTCACCTATGACAGAGGAGTCCTGAAGTATAGGATTCATATTCTATATATCTTTGTAGCCCAGGACCCACCACACTGCCTGGCCTGCTTTGTAAGTGCTTAAAAACAGTTGAATTCATAATTGAATTGAATTGGATAACTTGACGAAACAAGCAGAACAAGTAGTGTTTTTGTTTGTTTATTTTTGGCTGCTCTGGGTCTTGGTTCCTGTGCTCAGGCTTTCTCTAACGGCAGCGAGCGGGCTTCTCATTATGGTGTCTTCTCTTGTGGCATGTGGGCTCTAGAGTGTAGGCTCAGTAACCTTGGCTCACAGGTTTAGTTGCCTCACCCAGACCAAGAATCGAACCCATGTCCCCTGCGTTGGCAGACGGATTCTTTTTTATTTTATTTTAAACCTTTTACTGGGCTATAACCACTTAACAGTGCTGTGATAGTTTCAAGAGAATCGCAAAGCGACTCAACCATACGTATACACGTATGCATTCTCCCCCAAGCTCCCCTCCCATTCAGGTTGGGTAGGCTGATTTTCAACCACTGGGCCACCAGAGTAGTCCCAGAACAAGTCATGTTATTTTCCATCTCGTGATGAGGAAGCTGAGGCCTTGAAAGTCTCTGATCTTGTCACATAATCAGCTTGTGATAAAGTTGGAACTCAAACCCTGTCATCCATTCCCTCCTTCTATCTTACTTCATTCAACAATGAGTAGCTGCTCTGCACCAGTCAGTAGGAGCAGTGGGCTTCTGCCGTCCTTGCTCTCGGAACCTTACATGTAGGGCAACACGCTTAGAGAACGTGAGCCAGAATGCCTGCAGTCAGCAATTATTAGCCTTGCGACTCTAGACAAATTACTTGGCTTTTCAGTGCTTTCATTTCCTCATCCATAAAATAGGGAAGTGAAGTGAAGTGAAGTTGCTCAGTCGTGTCCGACTCTTTGCGACCCCATGGACTATAGCCTACTAGGCTAGGAGCTACTAGGCTCCTCAGTCCATGGGATTTTCCAGGCAAGAGTACTGAAGTGGGTTGCCACTTCCTTCTCCAAAAAAAATAGGGATGCCTACCATAAAAGGATTAATTAAGGGAATACAGTGCAAAGTGTTTATAGCAGCTGCTGGTGCTATAATCATCTGTGAAAGATGAGGAAAACTTGGATCCTCCCGTTGCTTGAGAAGCTCTATTGGGATGAAAACAGTAGATCATGGTTAGGGCATGTGGTGAGTGCAGTCATAGGGATATGAGGCAAACTATCGGAGTTGGAGAGCCGGACTTCCTGAGTCCTTAAGCATTAGCATGGGAAACCACATGGGGTTTCCCACGTGGCTGAGTGGTAAAGAACCCACCTGCCCATGCAGGAGACACAGGGGACTCGTCTTCAATCTCTGGGTTGGGAAGATCCCCTGGAGGAGGAAATGGCAACCCACTCCAGTGTTCTTGCCTGGAAAATCCCATGGACAGAGAAGCCTGGCGGGCTACAGTCCATGGGATCGCAAAGAAGCAGACACAACTGAAAGACTAACACACTTCAGCCACTTAAACAACGGGGTCATGAATCTGGGTTCAGCTCTGCGGAGTCCTTTGCCTCAAGGTCTCTCACAAGGCTTCGGTCAAGGCGTTGGCCAGGACCTCAGTTCCTTCAATGCTGGGCTGGGGCAGGATCCCCTTCTAACTTCACTCAGTGGTTTTTGGCAGGATTCAGGTTCTCAGGGGTGGTCCCTTGCTACATGGGCCTCCCCATAGGTCAGCTCACACTATGGCATCTGGCTTCATCACAGTGAGCGAGAGAGAGAGGGAAGGTGCCCCAGACAAAGCCAAAGTCTTTTTTTTTTTTTTCTGGCTGTGCTGTGTCTTTGTTGTGGTCCTTGTGGCATGGGAGCTTCTCTGGTTGTGGATCACAGGCTTAGTTTCCCCCCAGCATGTGGGATCTTAGTTCTCCTACTAAGGATCGAACCTGTGTCCCCTGCATTGGAAGGCAGAATCCTAACCACTGGACCATCAGGGACGTCCCACCATAGTCATTTATAACGTAACCTCAGAAGTGACTTGTGCTCTAGTCCAATCTTCATTAGAAGCTCGCCATCGGCTCCAGCCCACGTTCAAGGGGAGAGGATTACACAAGGGCATGAACAGCAGGAGAAGGGATCTTCAGAGATCCCACAGCCCCTGTCTCTGCCTTGCGTTTACCATTGGGGCATCAAATCGGTACGCCTAAATCGAAATCAGTCCAAGAAGGAAGGTAATCATGGAGGTAGCACAGGTTCAGTGGTGGCTCACAGAGAGTTGTCTGGTTGGAAGAATCAGGACGGTTTCCTGGAGAAGGCGGCATTAACAATGGACTTTGAAAGAGTGAAGGACATGCCATTGGCCAAGAAGGGGAAGCCAGGCGAGGGATACAGTGTAGGCAAAGGCAGGGAGGTGGGCAAGTGAAGGGCCTGCTCAGATGTCCAGATATCAAAACCATCTCACTTGGGAATTCCCTGGCCATCCAGTGGTTAGGACTCTGTGATTTCATTGCTAAAGATCCCAGTTCGATCCTTGATTGGGGAACTAAGATCCCACAAGCCAAAAAAACCCCACAAAAAAAAACAAAAAAACACTACCCCATTTGAGTGGAACCTATGTAAAGAAAGGGAGAGTTAAAGGGATGGCAGTGGCAATTAGAACCAAAGGTAGATGGCTTCCACTGTTAGATAAGGGAGCTCTCTCCTTGACTGGGGGATAAGTGTGGGGACCAGGGGCTGGACAAGGTGTGGTTTCCATTACCACCAGGTTCAGGACTGAGGGGCTCCGAGTCCAGTGTTCCCCTGTCCCTCCAGCCTGGCTGCGAGACCCATGCCCCTTCTCCTCTTGCAGTTTGGACGCACCGAGGTCATTGACAACACACTCAATCCCGACTTTGTGCGCAAGTTCATCGTGGATTACTTCTTCGAGGAGAAGCAGAACCTCCGTTTTGACCTGTAAGTAGAAGATGGTGCTGAGGTTGGAGCTGGGGAGGGAACCACGGTGGGGAGGTAGGGCTCCAGGACCTATTGTTGGGGCAGTGGTTTACTCACTTGGGAAGGTAGGAGAGCTGTCACATCAGAGGAAGCCAAGGGTTGACCTGGGAGAAAAGGGACTCTTAGCTGAAGTCCAGCCCCACGCACATCAGGAGATGGAAGAGAGGTGGGGAGAGGGAACAAAGACACCCCGCTTTGGTCTAGTGTGGAAGCACACTGGGCAATTACCTGATTCTGGGGTGGGTGGTTGAGGAAGATATCTTGGGGGCAACTCCAGTTCTACCCCCAGGGAGCCCAAGTCCCCAGTGAACTTTCCCTCTGTCAAAGCTGGTTCTGGGGGCGGTGTCCCCTCCAGTTTCCCCTCCTTCAGGGGTTACCCAGCTGACCGGACTCAAAGCATCTGTGTGTTCATCACAAGGATGCCGAATGCCCCCCTCTCCTGAGGTTAAAGGTAACAGTGGGGTTTTAGTCTGGTGAGTAGGTAGAGGAGTGTTTTGTTGTTTTGTTCAGGATGTAGGGTGGTTAGAAAGGACTGTGCCCCCAGAGAATTGTGGACGGAGTGGGGAAAAGGGGTTGGCAAAAAGGGAGCAAAGGGAAAAAATGCAGTAAAAAGGAGACGAACGTGGAGGGAGCAATAGGAGGACTTGAGGGCCAGGGCAGTCAATGCAACCCATTGCAGGGAAGTCAGCTTCCCAGATGACACTACTGGTAAAGAACCTGCCTGCTGATGCAGGAGACACAAGAGACACGGGTTCAATCCCTGGGTTGGGAAGATCTTATGGAAGAGGGCATGGTACCCCATTCCAGTATTCTTGCCCGGAGAATCCCATGGACAGAGGAGGCCTGGCAGGCTACAGTCCATGGAGTTGCAAAGAGTCAGCCACTACTGAGTGACTAACACATACACAACTTATATATGGGCTTCCCTGGTTGCTCAGTGGTAAAGAATCCACCTGCCAATGCAAGAGATGTGGGTTTGATCCCTGGGTCGGGAAGATCCCCTGGAGAAGGAAATGCCAACCCACACCAGCATTCTTGCCTGGGAAATCCCACGGACAGAGGAACCTGGAGGACTGCAGTCCATGGGGTCGCAAAGAGTTGGACATGACTTATTGGATAAACAACAACAACATAACTTACATATAGTGACGTGCCCAAATCCTAAGAACCCTACCCCATGATGCATTCTGATATCCATTTATCACCCAGATCAAAAGACACACTAGGTCTAGCACTTTAGAAGGCTCCCATTTATATCTCCCTGCTATTACTCCCAGGAATGTCCACTGCATTAGTGCTTGGTTTGGAGAAAGCATGGGTTCTGGCTCAGCTCAAGAAGCCAGACAGTTCAGGGCAGACTGCCCCAGCTGCCTTCACCATCTCTCTGTGTTCCCCGCAGGTATGATGTTGACTCCAAGAGTCCTGATTTATCCAAACACGTGAGTTCTGCCAGTGCCTGCCCAGCAATTCTGAAAGTCTCCTAAATGCCAAACTCTGAGTTGGCCTTGGGTTTCACTGTGACACAGAGTGTGTGTCTGACGCTATAGCCTGTTAATTCAGAACCCTCGTATACCCAGGGGTGGGGTGATGGGGGAGGTGATGGTGACTGTGAGCCTAGTGGTTGACAGTGGTCTTTTTTGCACCCTGGATGTGCAGGATTTCCTGGGCCAGGCCTTCTGCACCCTTGGAGAGATTGTGGGGTCCCCTGGGAGCCGCCTGGAGAAGTCCCTCACGTAAGTATACAGGAAAGTGGAGCCTGTCTGGGTTTCTTCCTCAGCGATGGTCCAACTGCCTGTTCATCTTTGCTGAGGGTTGGCTCAGGGGAGGGGCAAGCCGTCAGCCAGTCATCGTGGGCAATCGGAAATACAGGGACTGAAAGAGCTTTGCCCTTGCAGGACTTTTAACCCAATTATCTTGGAGGGACCTCGGCTCACTTATTAGAGCCTCACATTCTTTAGAATGACCTGAGACATTATCTAGTCCTCTCCCATCCCCCGACCCCATCATTATATAGGGGAAGAAACTGAAGCCCAGAGAGGGAAGTGATTTGCCCAAGGCCACATAGCTAGGAAGTAGAAGAGCTAGGATTTGAACCTAGGGATCTGCTTACATTGAGTAGTCTTCAGATTGTTCCAATGGCAAGGCCCTCCCCGTCCCACCCTGCCCCTGCATCACAGGGTTTTCAGTGCTTTAGGGGGAAACTATTACACTGAACAGGCTCCGCCATGAGGAGTCCCAAGGCTTCTCACAGTGGAGCCTGGGGGTGGCTTCAGGGACCAGCCAGGTTGGCCAGGCAATGGGGTGACCTCTCTTGTCCCTGTTTCTCAGGAAGCCCCAGGAGCAGGGACCAGGCAAGAAAGGCCTGCCAACTGGGACATGTGTCCATGTCACAGGGCAGGGTGGGCAGAAAAGCGCACCCCCACCCCCGCTTCTACCAATTTCACACTGGACGCTGTTCCCTCACCATGATCAATAACTGCAGAATGTGTTATTGCGGGGAGGGGACTGGTCTCTTTCCCAGGTCCTGTCTCTAACCCCCAATAACTGTGTGGAAACTTCAGAGCCTCCAGAAAGTTCTTCTGTCCCCCAAATGGTCTCCTCCCCTGGCTTCACAGAATATAGCTATAAATAGCTATCATTTCTTGAGCCTAGGGAGTAATCCCATGTTTGAAGGCTCTGAAGCTTATAGAATTTGGGTCCCAGGAGTGAGTGTGTGTCTGCCCCTCTTAGCTCCCAACTGCCTGGGTCAAAAGCACATGAGTTATTTGGGTCTGTTTCCTGTGTTGCCCCCTGGCCCTTCAGGGGTGGAGGGGCACACCTTCCGGGGGCGGGGGGGATAGAGAAAGACTTTGGATTGGGGAGGAGCCAGTGGGAGGAGCTTTAAAGGTCAAACAGGATCTAAAATGTGGAGATGCAGGGTGCTGGTGAAGGAGGGGACCTACTTCCCCACTGAAGCTTTCCCACGTCCAAGTTTAGTTGCTCCTCTGGCTAGACCTATGAATGGCTTCCTTTCAAGGGGTGTCTGTTCTGGGCCAGACAGTGTTTCGTCTCTGTGACCTCACGAGGTCAGTCTCCCCATTTCACAGCCTAAACACTGAGCCTCAGAGAGGCCACGCAGAGGTTCTCAAACTGAAGCAGGCATCAGCATCCCCTGGAGAGCGGATTTCGCACAGACCGCTGGGCTCCAACCCCAGGTCCAGGCGATGGCGCGAGAATTTCCATGTCTAACACAGCCCCAAGGGAGGTGATGGGGCTTGTCTGGGAACCACACTCTGAGAACCTCTGAGGTGAAGTTGCCCAGAGCGTCACCTTGATAGGTTTGGGAAGAATACCTCTCCTTCCCCTGGCCTGTGGCTCTTGGACCTGTTCTGATGTTTGATCCAGAACAGAAACCTGTCTCCAAGAATCTCGATGATGCCTAGAGCTCTGGCCTCTCCGGACGGGGATACTCAGCTCACAGCGTGCTCTTTCTCTCTCCACAGAATAGGAGCGTTCAGCCTGAATTCCAGGACAGGCAAGCCCATGCCGGCTGTGTCCAACGGGTAGGCCACCAGACACCTCTGGCCCTGGAGTCCTCACATTCAGCCAGCTCTCAGAAGGGGGCCTCAGGGTCCTGGGTCCCTCCTGAAGGGCCCAGATGCTTGGGGCCACTCTGCAGCTGGCCCTCCCCCCACCCAGGCTAGAGCTCCAGCATCCCCAGGCCCAGGGGTCAGAGGACTTTGGGGAGCAGGGTGGGGCTGAGAGGTAGGGGCTGATTCTGGGCATCAGCAAGGACTGGGCCCTCTTCCTTCCTGTCCTCTCCCAGGCCCGCTTTCTCCCCCTCCCACCTCTCAGCCTTCTCCTCCCTTGTCTTTATCTCCCCTCTTCTCCAGTGCTTCAACTGCTGGACATCAGCCTCCTCACAGAGTAGATTCTGCTAAACCCTCACTTTCCGCATTTGCTTACCAGCTGTGGTGGGCTAGCCAAGTTGCCCCAGCCCCCTACCCTGACCATCTGCTTTTGGTTGGCCTCCTGCAAATATGGCCATGAAGACCCTCCCACTCCTTCCTTTCCTCTCCTGGTTGGAGAGAGGGTCCACATCTGGCAGGGGGTAGGGGGACCAGGGTAAGGAGCATCTGCTCGGGGGACCCACCTGGAGGGGCCACTGGCCTTTGCTGAGGGCTCCTAGAAGTTGCGGTCTCAGTAGCTGGACTGTCCATCAGATTAGCGGGATGTAGGAAAGGGGCCTTCACAGGACCTAGGGATACTCACAGCCCTGGAAGGGTATGGATGCTAATTTACAAGAAGAGTAGGGAAGCAGCAATTGGAGAGGGAGCAGGAGTCAGAGAGAGAAGCAGGAAGAGAGAGCAAATGGGAAGGGAGGGAGAGAGAGAAAGGCCAGGAAGGTGGGAGCTGACTGGGGCTAGAGAGCGTGGAAGGAAAGATCGGAAATAGACGAGGGGCTAAGAGGCAAGGAGAGGAGCAGATGGAGAAACATTGGACAGAGGAGGCTGGTGTGAGCATTCTGTCTCCCTGGTCAAACAAATCGATCTTTACCAGCAGGCAGGGCTGGATGGGGGTGGAGAGGCTTTGGGTTACTCAGCTGGCTTCCCAAGTCTAAGGGGGACAGGCCGGCCACCTGGCTGGAGCAGGGGACACTCCAGCTGCAGCCCTGCTCTGGCCGCCTCAGCCTCATCCGGAGGGATCTGGGCTATCTCATCAGCCCCCTGCCGAGGGCCAGCTCCCCTGCCTCCCCTGCCTCTGTTTGAAAATCTCTCCCTTCGAGAGCTGGCACTGGAGAGAGCTCCATCAGTGGTTCTCCGAAATGTGTTCCGCAGCCAGCGTGTTGTGGCCCTGAGGCTGGCTCGAGTGTGGGCTGCATTTCATCAGCTTTGCAGACTTGTAAAAGGAGCCAGGAAGGGAGAGAAATGGTGCTCTTGAGGGCCTCCTCCGTGTCAGGCATGGTGTGTGTGCATATTTTTTTGTAAAATGGATGCTACAGTCACACCCATTTTATGGGCTAGGAAACTGAGACTCAGAGAGGTGCAGTAATGAGCCCAAAGTCATACAACTACTGGACAGCTGCCATTTTCTTCTCCCTCCCAGGGGCCCTGGCTGCCCTGGGACCTCCCCCCAGCTGGGGTTAGTCCTAAACATCGGAGTGGGGTGGGCTGGTACCTGGGTGGGGTGGGGTCCCTCCTGACCAAAGAAAGAGATCATGGTAGAACCCCACCCTGGGAACTTGCTCCCCTAGAGAGGATTCTCTGGGGGAGGGGGCCAACTTCACGTCCTGGCCGCCCACCTCCTAGAGGAGCCTCAGGGTTGGCCGAGATCTCTCTCCCCCAGAGAGACCCCAGCCAAGAAGTTGCAGGGGAGGGAGCCATGGGAGACGGCCTGGCAAGCTGCCACCCAGAGTACACCCGTCCTCCTGTTTCACGGCCTCTTACTGCTCTCCTTCCTCCAATGGATCAGAGTGGCTCAGAGCTGGGATGTGCCGGGACTCTGGGGATCAGCTGGGTGCAGGGTGGGGTGGCTAGCCCACGAGGTCTTTTGCCCACAGAAGTGGTCTCTGGATGGAAAGTTTGAGAACCACTGGTCTGGAAGCCTCCGGGTGAGTCTGGATGCTTTTCTAGGACTTTCAATGCAGACAGTACCCTTCTTGGTGGGCTCTTGGGGAGCAGGGGGTGGGGCAACTCCAGGCCTGGGGGCCTGGCCCAGGAAGCAGCGCCCTAGGTCACAGGAGACTCTGTCTTCTTAGGGGCTTCGGAGCAGATCTGCTGGATGGTGGTGGGGAGGCGAGGGAAGGATGAAGAGGGCTGATTCAGGGAGAGCTCAGGATTGTGGCTCTGTCTTTGTCTGACTTTCCATTCTCTCATCTTCTCCTCTCTCAGCGGCGTCCCAGGGAAGAAATGTGGCACCATCATCCTGTCTGCCGAGGAGCTCAGCAACTGCAGGGTGAGTGGCAGAGGGACCGTAGGACAAGACCTGGGGGTGGAGTGGGGAAGGGGCGGTGACGGAGGGCAGGCTGGCCTCCCTGGGACCCTGGGACCACAGGGTGTCCTTGGAGGCACTGGGGGAGGGCAGGGCTCTTCAGTCTACCTTGGCTGTCACAGAAGTCCACGGCTTTGGAGCTGGAAGATATCTCCCCTTTTCAGAGCTGAGCTGACTGAGGCACAGAGAGAGGAAAAAGCTCGCCCACGGTCAGCCGCTGAGCTGGGCTGGGAGCCCTGGTCCACTCCCCGTCACGGCCACGCTCGCTTGTCCTTGAGCCAAGACTGCCTTGGCACCAACACTGGCAGCGGAGAGGCCTTTTCAGTCTGGGAGGCTGGGCGCTTGGCATTTAGTTGTCATTTTTCACTTTTAGCTCTGGAGTAGGGTGATGCCCCTACATGGGGCTGAGGGGGTGAGAGCATGTGGTTGGGGTGTGTGTGTGTGTGTGTGCGTGTGTATGTTGGGAAGCCAGAGTCTGCAGTCCTACGCAGTCCTTGGTTTTGCTTCTTCTGTGTGACTGCAGAGAAGCAGGAGGTAGGGACAACTTGGGGGTAGCTGGGGGGGAGCCAGGATCTTTAATAACGAGGCTATAGTGTCCCAAACTCTGCATTCAGGGGCTTCCAGTTGGAGAATAAGACAGAATTGATATTCTTTGGGAAGTACAGCAATGACTAGATCAGCTCAAACACAGTTGCTCTATCTGCTTTTTCTGTCTGTCTGTTTACCTCGGTGGGTCTGGTGGACCTTGATCTCGGGACTAAACCTCCCCCAAAGGTACACCCGGCAGAGGGCGGGGCGTGCAGTAGATGCTCACAGAGGCTGTTCGGTGAATCTGTAAATGAATGAACAGGAAGCCCAAACCAAATGTTTAGGGCATGTGGATATAACTGCTACACCTGTATATGCTGGCGATCTGGGCACTATTGGAGTCCCCACAAGGGAGAGTCAGTTCAGTCTCTCAGTCGTGTCCGACTCTTTGTGACCCCATGAACTGCAGCTGAGCAGGGTTCCCTGTCCATCACCAACTCCCAGAGCCTGCTCAAACTCATGTCCATCGAGTCAGTGATGCCATCCAACCATCTCATCCTCTGTCGTCCCCTTCTCCTCCTGCCTTCAATCTTGCCCAGCATCAGGGGCTTTTCCAATGAGTCAACTCTTCGCATGAGGTGGCCAAAGTACTGGAGTTTCAGGGAGAGAACAAGGGTGAGAACATAGCCGATATGTAGACTAGAGGTCTATTCAAGCTTCCCGAGCCTCAGTTTCTCCACCTGTATGCTGGGGCTGATAGACTTGCTGTGAAGATTAAAGGAGATTGTGACGGTGACTGTGCCCAAGAGGCTCTCCTCCTCGTGGGTTTCTGGGGAAGACTGAACCTGAATTCCCTGAAGCCTAAATCCAGTTTGCCCTCAGGCTTCTAACTCTGTCGGTGGCTTCCTCCCTGGTTTATAATTAGACAAAGGAATACAAACAAAAGTGCTTTGGAAATTTTAAAGCTCTAGACAGTGCTGGGTGCTGCTATTGGTCTAGTTTTCCGGGATTGGTAAACAGTGTGTGTTTAGGCTCTCCTCCTCCTCCTCTCCCACTCTGCCCTCCCCCACCCCGCATCCACGGATGGCAGCAGCTTCTTTGATTTAAGCAGTTTCAGAGCAAGTGGGGGTGGGGGGCTCCCTCCCTTCCTCTTGAGATTGTCAGCTCCTTTTCTTTGGGGGCATCTTTGGCTGAGTTCTGTCTTTCCCTAGAATACTTGCAAGGAAAAAGAGACTAATTCCCAGCATCTGGCTGAATTAAAATAATTACATCTGATCGGCTTTGCTTCTGTCATCCCAGCATTCAGTAGGAGGATCAAAGGAAGAGGGTGGAGTCTGAGAGATGGTTTTTCACCAGAGCTGGGCTTCCTGCTCAAATGAATATACTCTCCTGGAGCAGACAAACCCTCCCTTCATCCATGGGGATGGTGTGGGCGGGCAGGGACCAGAGAAGGATTAGAGTTGACTCCAGAGAGTCACCACCATGCTTTGATGGGTTATAGAAAAGCCATTCTCATCGAGAATTTAAATACCAAGAAAGTTCCAACAATCAGGATTTGACCCCAGATATTATTTGGTGATACCTGATGTTGACAAGGCTGAGCTTAATCTCCTGAAGGGCCTCCGAATCACCAAAGAATTCATTATGGTCAGCAGTAAGACAGTGATTATTGAGTGTAATACTGACCAATATTTGCATAGTCCTCACAGTTGCTTAAGACTCTCATGGTAACAGTCTATGTGATCATTCACCATGGACTCAGGGGCCTTCCCTGCTGGCTCAGACAGTAAAGAATCTGCCTGCAGTGCAGGAGACAGGGGTTCTATCCCTGGGTCTGGACGATCCCCTGGAGAAGGGCATGGCAACCCACTTCAGTATTCTTGCCTGGAAAATCCCATGGACAAAGGAGCCTGGCAGGCTATAGTCCAAGGGATCACAACTGAACAACAAACACTTTCACCTTCGTGGGACTCAGGGCTGGGTAGGTGTGAGTGACCCAGTGTCCAGATGCAGAGAAGTTGGAGTGGCCTGCCTAAGACTGCAGGATTCTAACCCAAGCCTGGGGTCTGGGAGTGTTTCCCTCACCCAGTGAAGTTCTGAACCTTCACGGCACATGGAACAGCTATGGGCTTTGTCAGGCCAGTAGCCTTTAGTAGGCCTGATGAGTGGCTGGACTTCTAGAGAGAGGCAGGAGGGTGTTGTGGGTGTGGGTGGTGACTAGCTCCTAGGCTTCCCCTTCCCAGACCCCTAGCTGCCCCTAGGCCTGCCAGGCAGCCAGACAGCCTCGCTCTGGAGCCAGGAGTCCCTGACCAGATGCACATTCTCAATGCCATCCAGTCAGGTCCCTGCACACACTGGCAAGAATGTGACTCACCTCTCACCAGTCAAGGAAGGCAAAGCTTCACCTGGTAGCTAATTTCATTAAATATGCTTTGGCTCAGTTCATGCCCTCCCAAAGTTCTCAATTTTGTATGAAAGACAGAAATTGCCAGCCAGCAATCACTGTACAGCAGGGTCATCAATCCTGTCAGACCCACTGCCTCTTTTTTATGACAAATATTTTACAGCACTCTTTACTATCCTGAAGGAAAATTCTTGGACATAGCATATAATATGCCAAAATACATACAAGTGAGGCAGTGAGCCCTTGCAACTACCTAGAGGAAGATCAGTCCAGACAAAGAATACCAAAGCTCTTGTAAAGGAAGGAGCAGGAAAACAATAATGAGTGACATCAGAGAGGCAAGGGTGTGGGTGCATGTGGGGGCCAGGTGGTGTGGGACTTTGTGGATGGGGAGCTTAGCTTTGAACCCTGATAAAGTCAGAACTCTCATTGTTCTAAAGACAAACTTCAGAGAGAGCCCAGTATCTCCATATGGGAGTCTTGGGAAGATTCCAGGAGGAGGAGGGAGAAAGATAGGAAGAAAGAGGTAAGGTGAAGTGGGGGAAGTGGTGAAGGTTTCCTGAGACCCAAAATATGCAGGTTGATCTTTGGGAAAGATTGTGTGTGTGTGTGTGTGTGTGTGTGTGTGTGTGTGTGGTCAGCACAGCTATGTGTCCTGCATGATGAATAATCAGCATTCAGATATCACCCTTTTATTTTTTATTTTTTTAAAGGAAGAGCAGGTACTTATTTATTTTTGGTTGCACTTGGTCTTCGTTGCTGCGTGGGCTTTCTCTTCTTGCAGGGGCTACCCTACTTGCGGCGCGCCAGCTTCTTTCTCATTGCAGTGCTTCTCTTGTTGCAAAGTACAGGCTCTATGTGGGCTTTAGTTAGTAGTTAGGCATTCAGGCTCAGTAGTTGTGGGACATGGACTTCATTGCTCCATGGCCTTTGGGATCTTCCCAGACCGGGAATCAAACCCATGTCATCTGCATCAGCAGGCAGATTCCTATCCACTGTACCACCAGGCAAGTCCCAGACGTCACCCTTTTAAAAAGTTAGTTTGCAATATTTTGGTCTTAGAAATCATCTTTCTCGTTAACAACAAGAACAACAAGCAGAGTGAAAGAAAACAAAACAAAAACGTTTTTCCTGATGCTGAAAAAATAACATGTTCCTGACTGTTGAAAATACAAAAGACTAGAACCATCACCAAGAGATAATCACTGTTGACATTTTGAAGCCTTTCCTCCAAGGCTTTTTTTCTGTGTGTCCAAGACTATAGCTTTTTCTTATAATTAGTAGAATATGATATCCAGATTTATTTTCCCATGTCATTATTCTTAGAAGACATATTTAATAGCTATATATCAATTCTCTGTTGTATGGATGGGCCATAATTTATTAAATCTATTCTGTTAAAGGAAAACAATATAATTAATACCTTGAACATCCTCATAGCTGACTTGTTCCTTTTTTCTTTGAACTTTAGTTGATGGAGTTTGGTTAGTATCCTAGACACACAGGCTCAATGAGTGGGAGGAAAAATGGTCAATCTGCAATTCTTCGCCTGTGAATGACCACATCAACAGATACACAACTGATTGGCTTGCTTGAGAAGCCAGTCATAACAGCTATGTGTCCTGCATGATGAATAATCAGCATTCAGATATCACCCTTTTATTTTTTATTTTTTTAAAGGAAGAGCAGGTACTTATTTATTTTTGGTTGCACTTGGTCTTCGTTGCTGCGTGGGCTTTCTCTTCTTGCAGGGGCTACTCTACTTGCGGCGCGCCAGCTTCTTTCTCATTGCAGTGCTTCTCTTGTTGCAAAGTACAGGCATGTGGGCTTTAGTTAGTAGTTAGGCATTCAGGCTCAGTAGTTGTGGGACATGGACTTCATTGCTCCATGGCCTTTGGGATCTTCCCAGACCAGGAATCAAACCCATGTCATCTGCATTGGCAGGCAGATTCCTATCCACTGTACCACCAGGGAAGTCCCAGACATCACCCTTTTAAAAAGTTAGTTTGCAATATTTTGGTCTTAGAAATCA